AGTAGAGTAGAGTAGAGTAGAGTAGAGTAGAGTAGAGTAGAGTAGAGAATATGGAATAACAGAATAACAGCATTGGAAGGGGCCTTGGATATCTTCTAGTTCAACCCCCTGCCTAGGCAGGAAACCCTACACCATTTCAGACAAATCCAATATCTTCTTAAAAACTTCCAGTAGAGTAGAACAACAGATCAGAACAGAACAGAACAGAACAGAGAATAGAGAATGGAGCAATGTTTCTCAGTCTTGGAAACTTTAAGGCATGTGGACTTCATCTCCCAGAATTCCCCAGCCATATAGTATATGAGTCTGTTTTGACAAAGAGTGACTTAGCTGAGGAACATCAAGGGACTTTTCTTCAAACCAATTGTCAGCAGAAATATGGCATCATTCAGAAATCTTTGCATCTTCTTTTTCATTAAAGAAACAAAGCAAATATTGAATTGTCAGACAGCATTGATGTTGGTGCATCGAAGAATAGTGACGGCCAATTGTTAGTTGAAATTTCAGTCCCAAGGATAGTGCATTGTAAATACATTTGTTTACCATACTTAAATGATCATTGTAAAAAATAGCATACAATAATAAGATTGTCACCTGTCAAAATTGCTTCAAAATTTCATGCCAATATCCAAAACTATCAAGACATTAAGCAAATCGGATTTCCGTTGCTTTTGTTGCACAAAAGAGATTAAGAGCAAGAATTTGAGAGTGGTACTGGTGAATTATATCGGTTCCTTTATGAACAATTGGTTTATTGACTTGAATAACTTGTGGAATATTTGACAGAAGATGAAAAACCAAGCCGTAGGATTTTATGTATAACCCAGAAAAAATGTGTGAGACAATGTGTGAGATGAAATACCAAGCCATAAGATTTTTATGTATAACCCAGAGGAAATATTGAACTCTTGTGTGTGAAGGGAATGCAGAGATAGATAGATAGATAATCAAATCCAAGTTTGATTTTTCCTGTGCAAAGTTTGGTAGGATGCAAGGTTTTTCCTGAAATAGACAAAAGTGTAATAATGTTCATTCTTCTTCTTCCCTTCTCCTGTGTTTTCCTATTTAGTTCTGCTGATTTCTTCTCTTTTTGATTAGCAAAAAGAAAGTGGTTATGCAGCTGGTTACAGAAGATGGCAGCACCAAGGTATTTGTGGATGATCTTGAAAAAACAAGCATAGATGACTCTGGTTAGTGCTTAGATGGGAGATTTCCAGAAAACACCACGGCTTGCTGGTTGGATCAAGAAGTTGAAAATTCAGAAGGTAAGGGCAAATCAATTATGTAACAAAAATGGACAATATCTATTGAGGGCATTGAAGAACTTCGCGATATGTACATGTGTGCGCACACATGCATGTCCCAAAGGAGCTTTTTCAAAAAGCAACTGGATTTTCTTTGTTTTTCGTTGAGGAAGTTTCGCTTCTCATCCAAGAGCCGAGGTGGCGCAGTGGTTAGAGTGCAGTACAGCAGCTACTTCAGCTGACTGCTAGTTCAGCAGATCAGCGGATCAAATCTCACCGGCTCAAGGTTGACTCAGCCTTCCATCCTTCTGAGGTGGGTAAAATGAGGACCCAGATTGTTAGGGGGCAATATGCTATTTAGTATACTGTCTTTGGTGTAAGCCGCCCAGAGTTCTCGGAGAGTGGGTGGCATAGAAATATGACTAATAAAATAAAATAAAATAAATAAAGAAGCTTCTTCAGAACTCAGAACTCAGAAATGAAGAAGCTTCTTGGATGAGAAACGAAACATCTTCAAGGAAAAGAAAGTCCAGTTGCCTTTTGAAAAAGCACCTTTGGGACAACCATGAGTTGGATGACTCATGGATGAATCCCCATACATACAGAGAGAGAGAAAGAGAGAAAAAAAAAAAAGAGAGAGAGAGAGAGAGAGAGAGAGAGAGAGAGAGAGGGAGAGAGAGAGAGAGAGGGAGGGAGAGGGAGGGAGAGAGAGAATCAGAGTTTTCCTCTACACATGCTTTTCCAGAAATCTACTGTCTTTGTGACTGGTAAGGCATCTAAAACCCTGGCAAATGAAGTGAAAATCAGAGAGAGTTTCTGCCACTGTAGCCTTTTCCAACCTGAGTGCCTTTCACAAAACTGTATTTCAGTTTTCAGAATTTCATAAGAAAAGGATAGGATAATGGATAGGATAAGATAATGGATAGGACAGGACAGGACAGGACAAGACAAGTCAACTTTTATTATCATTTTTTTGTGAGCACATTGGTCCACATTAAAAATTAAATTGTGTTGCCTGCTATCAAGAGAAAGTATATATCTACCCAAACCAGGGGTGGGTTCTAACTGGCTTTACTACCAGTTCTCTTTGTGCGTGCGCTTTGCGCACAATTGCCTCTTTGGTCACGCGCTTTGCGCGTGATCGCCGTGTGCATGCTCACTTTGCTCGCCTGTGTGCCAAACTTGCGAATCTGCCCAGCTGAGGTGCGGCAATCTGCTCTGCCGCACCTCTCAGCTGGGCGAAAAAAGAAGAAATATAAGGTCGGCATAACGCCGGGGCGGGCGGGAGGGCCCAGCTCCCGAAGACAGAGAACCGGTTCGGTGACGTCATATCGTCACCGCTACCGGCTCTCAAGAACCGGTGCGAACCGGGAGCAACCCACCACTGACCCAAACACAGACATAACATACATATACACATATACACACATATACATGCTAAATACCAGTGATGGCGAACCTTTTCGGCACCGAGTGCCCAAACTGCACGCACCAGAGCGCTGGAAACCCAAAGACAAGTTGGCTGGAGCACATGCGCATGCCGGCCTACTAGTCCTTGGGTTTCTGACATGCGCATGCCCGCTGGCCAGCTGATCTTCATGTGCTCCAGAGCACCGGAAAACCAAAGCCAGCTGGCTGGGGGGAGGGCGCATGTCTGTTTTTTGGCTGTTTTGGGCTGTTTTCAGGGCCGTTTTCAGGCCATTTTTCAGGCCGTTTTCAGACCGTTTTTGGCCTGAAAACTAGCCCCAAAACCCCCTGAAAATGCCCCAGAAAACAGCCTGTGCACGCTGGAAGCCAGAAGAGCAGCAGGCGATGGCGCACGTGCCCAGAGAGAACGCTCTGCGTGTCACTGCGTTATTTTATTTACCAGCTGAGCTAATTATTTCTGGACTGTCAGACTTTCCGTAGCTTGCCAACTTCGTATCAGTAAGCTACGTGTTTCCGCCTCCACCCACATTCCTTCACACACTCTTTTCCTTTGTTCTCTTGCCAGAAAGGTCCGGCTGAGAAATAGCCGGCAAGAACTATTTCAAAATGTAGCAATTACTTTTCTTAGTTAGTGAGGTGTTTTATTTTCTTTATAACAAATAAATGAGTTTTATTAGAGAACTTTTCTTAGGGTTTTCTTTTCAGAATATTGCAACTTGGAGGAAGCCTCGATCCATCCTCTAATTAAATCAGGGTGATTTTTCCCAGAGTCAAACATGGGATTAATCAATGCCCTGACACGCGTGGCATAGGTTCGCCATCATAGCTATGTATATACATACATAAATATAGGCAGCCTGACTATTGCTAGGACATCTCAGAACTGAAGTCCACACATTGAGAAGACGTAATGTGTGGGGAAAGATTATTATAGTAGATTCTGTTATATATTCTTCCCATCCCTGCTATGTAAATATATATGCAGAATTTTCTCCCAAGATATATTTGCCCAGGAAACTTTCCAAGTGGATTGCATTCAGATTTTCCTATTTTCCTTCGATACCTTGATCATAATTCTCGAATCATCCAAAATGTACGCCTTTGCCTCATTGGCAATATAAATACCGAAAGGCATTTTTTGACAGTTTGAATTTTAAAATGCATCCGACTGCAAGCAACATAGGACAGGATTTAAACAGATGTCAAAATAAATTTCTACTGAAAGAGATTTTGCTTTAGAAGCAGGGGTTCATAATAGCTCGATTTTAAATTGCATTTCCCTGCAAGAGGGAAGATTCTCACTGCTAATAGAAACCCAGGAAGTGTGTGTGTGCTTGTGTGTGTGTGTAGGTATACAAATACGCAATATTTTGAAAAACAAATTGCATGCAAATGCCTGAAATGGAAAAGTGTTTGCACCAAATGGATACGTGTCTGAGACTTTTCTGAGGCTTTGCTGTATTTCAGTAAAATAAGTATATGCGGCATTTAAAATAGGAGCTATTCTTGGTTTAAAGGCAGAAAATTCAAAAATAGGTATGGCGGAAGAAATCAGGTAAAAATAAAGAAAGGGAGGTCTGGGCGGAAATGAATGTCAGCATTTTTCTGAAACTACTTAGATGAGATGAAAAGGCCTTTGCTGCTTAAAAAAAAAAGAATAGGAATTTACCATTTCTATTTTTCAGAGTTCCTAAAAAAAAGAATAAAATGATTCCATGACATAATTTGGAATTTGGAATTAACTCTGCCTGTTCTCCTTCCTCTCACGTCCCCCAATTTTATAATTTAATGGAAATTGCTTTAGTTTCTTTTTTTTTTGTTTTTGGAAAAGAAAATGTTAATAATATTCTCAAGGGTACAAAGCAAAAGGAAAGAACATTTACCATTTATTCTTCCACCCTTTTCTCCAGAGGTCTGCTGTAGATTCCTGTAGATTTTTAGGAAAGATCCCTAAAGGAATATTTATCAACACAGACCTTATCTCGCTTGGAAGGCTGCCAGGTAACTAGTTTCCAAACACAGTACAAGGCAAAACTTGGCACAGAGTCTCTCAGAGTCACGGAACGAATGAATTGTTTCCTGCAAAAGCCCACTCCCTGTTCACTCCTCTTTTGTTTCCTATGGGAGGGGCCTCCAAGATGTGGCTTTACTCCCAAGTTGACCCTGCTTTCTTAGTTGTTCTTGTCTTCTGGCAGCTCTGTGCATGTACACAGCTGCTCCTCTGCCTCACTGCTGTCTAGCTGCAGAGCTCTCGTCTGAGCTTTCCCCAGCCCCAAGGACTGGCCCATATTCCTTCCTCCCCAACCTCCCCACTGTCTGTCTCTGCTGCCAGTTCCGCTGGCCGCTGGCAGGCCACAACACCATAATTGTTATGGCTATGTAATTGCCATCTAGAGTGGGAACTGTCTTAAATCTTTACATTTAAGTGGGGATAAAATAAGGCTGGACGTTGGAAGGAACCCTTTACCTAAGGAGAACATCCAACTGAAAAAGGCAAGGAGAAAATATGTCTCAGATCTCAAGAAACAAGTAAGAAGAACCCTGACAAGATATCTATCTTACACCTGTGGGCTTTTGAGGAAACTTTCTTTTTATTCATTTAATAACCATGCACGCAGCAAGGTATCTTCAGTTCCAGCCTCTCTAATTAAGATGTAATACTGCATAAGAGTTTGCACCAAATTCCCACAATGCTCTTCGCTGCTCTGTGTCAGGTGGTGCGAAGGTGAAAATTCATATATATTATGGAAAGCAAATCCCGTTTGCCGTCTTATGCATACACAATCTTTCTTCGTTGCCATTTATTTAAAAGATGAAAGCAAATGTGATTCTTCTCAAGAAAAATATATAATTATATATATGTGTGTGGTGTGTGTGTGTGAAATTAGCTCACCGAGGGCTTAATTATCCTTTCCTTCCCCAATGGGAATTGATGCTATTGGCAATTCTCCGGGCTGTTCTCTTGACAAATCAAGTTGTTGGCTGAGGCATGAAGTGTTAGATTATGATCGACTTGGCGTGACATTGAGATTCATGGCTACTACATTACGCAGAGAGAAGGGGGATTTATGCTTCATATCCACTTTTGAATTCATGCTGAGACAAGTGCATCATTCTGTTCAACCTTAGGTGTTCACGTTCTGCGTCTTGGGAACGAACAATATTACAATGGCTCAAACATTTGTGGAACAAGTGAGATTAAATAAAGCTGGGACGCCCCCTCTGTTTTTCCCCTTGTGCTGCATCCTTTTCAAGAAAGATGGAGATTCTTACATCCTATAGTCAGAGCTGAGAAAGCTGCTGTCGTAATGCAGGTGCCTAAAAGACTTGAATTAACACCTGTAATTCACAAGACCATTTTACTGAATTGGACTGGAAATATGTCCATGGAGGAAGACCTAGACCTTCTTAACACTGTGTATAGAATGTCTTTAAAGAGACGGTACCTGGAAAATACATTGTACCTTGTAGGGAAATGGAAATTTACATATAATAAGGAAAAGAAAAAGATGGAAGGGAAGGGAAGTGAAAAGATGAAGGGAGAGAGGGAAGTGGAATGGGGTGGGGTGGAGGAGAGGAGAAGTGGGGAGAAAAGCTGAGGGAAGAGGAGCTATAATTGCACTCAACAATGAACTCAAGGGCCACCATCAGTGAGCTGTTGGACAGCATTACTTGGTCTGTTGTGCGGATGTTTGGGTGGTTTGGGGTGGGGAATTTGTGGTGGGTGGGAGTGTGTTTGGGGATTGTTATGTGTGTTGGACCTGGTCTTTGGGTGTTAAGTGAATTTCGTTGTATGGGTATACTGTGTATACACGTACAATGACAATAAAGTTATTATTGTTATTATTAGAAGGAAGGAGATGGAAGAAGAGGGAAGTAGAGAGTGGAAAGAATAGAGGTAAATGGATGAGAGGAGAGGAGTAGGAGAGAGGGAAGGAGAGGGAAGTGGAGAAGAGGAGAGAAGAGGAAATGGGAGGGGAAGGAGGGAGAGAGGGGAAAGAAGAGAGATAAATATATAGAATGTTATGGTACAATTATGAAAATAATGCTTACAACTATGATGTACAACATGCATTTAAAAGAGACAACAAATGTATGATTAAGAGAATATTGGGTATAATCAGGGTGCACAAAACTATGTATACTTAAAAAGGACTGGATACAGCCAGTACACTGTCATTGCAAAACTGGAAATGTGATGTATTATAAAGAAAAATGTATGATAAAAATATTTATTAAAAAAAAAAAAAGAATTAACCTCTGTAGTTCACAAGACCATCTTACTGAATTGGACTGGAAATATGTCCATGGGGGAAAGACCTATATTTTCTCCACTTCTAGATGAAACCCTGTGGGTAGAAGATGGGGCTTCCTGTTTGTGGACAGTAATCCACATTAAAGTGTCCCCAACAGATGGTTTTTAAATCACTTCTTGAACACATCCAGCGAAGCTGATTTTCCTCTTTGAAGTTTGCCTTTCATTCGGCTGGCACTGGGCTTGCTGTAATTTAAATCCATTATTAAATTATCTGAACTTTGGAATGAGCGAGAACCGGCCTCAATCTGCTTATATGTAATAGCCATTCAGGTGTGTGGAGAATGCTGTCATACTGTCCTTCAGTTGCCTTCTCAAAAGCTAAACATGCCCAACTCCTTCAATCTCATAGGTCTTAATTTCTACTCCTTCTGATCATCGTAGCTCCCTCTTTCAATGTCTCTGAATCCTTCTTAAAGCTAGTCCTCCCACTTCACAGTTGGAGCGAGGTTTGATGAAGGCAGAAAAGAGAGAAGCCATTGCTTGTGTGTGTGTGTGTGTGTGTGTGTGTGTGAGAGAGAGAGAGAGAGAGAGAGAGATTTGGACATTATGCTTTTTGTGGATGCTACCTAAAAGTGCGTTTGATTTCTTTTCAGCTACATTTCACATTTATTTATTCAGAGTGGATAAATAAATTGCGAACCGGTAGTAAAGGTAAGTAGAACCCACCCCTGCTACACTGGCAAAGTTAGATAAAACACCCCTGCTACACTGGCAAAGTTAGATAAAACAAAATTTGGACTATACCGCTGCATATGTTGGCCAGATCTATGAAGTTTTGCTGGCCATGAGCACGCATGTATGTCAGTCCAATCCTAGGATGCCTATTGGTGTCATTTCTACAACATTGGATTGTTCCACTGGAATCGCTGACCTGTTTCCCTTCTGTTTATTATTCTCCTTCTCATTATTTTTTTTAAAATGAGTGGTCACTGCCTTATACACCATGTTGGGTGAGCAAGGAGAGAAATTGCTTACCTAAGTAAATAATGTCTAAAAGGTTAGCAAGCAGTTGCTAGAAGGACGGATGGGCAAGCCATTGCAAGAGTTCAGAAGACGGAGTTTGTGTCTATCCTGCCTTGCTCCTATTAGACTAGCTGCTGGCCTGCTGCTATGATGGAAAAACAACAGTCTTTTGTTAATGTTTGAAATATAGCTCGGTGGCTACCTCCCGAATCACAAGCAGCAGGCCTTCAGTACTTGTTGATGGGAAGTGACAGCAAAAAGAGGATTATTGCTTCTCAGCCCAGCTTTGCTGTGAGCGTTTGTGAACATTTCAAATGTATCCAATTGGCCACAGAGGGGGACAAAAGACCAGGCTAGATGGCCTATTGGTCTGAGCCAAGGAGGGGTTTTCTAAATGGGAAGCGAGCATTCGAAAAATTCAAAGGAAGAGTGCAAGATGTGAAGGAACGTGGCCCATCGAATTGCCAAGAGTCAAACTCGGCTGAACGGATAATGTCATCATCATCATCATCATCATCATCATCATCCTGTCTTTCCAAAGACCTAGAACTATTTTCGATTCCAAAAAAGGAGAGGTTGATTTCGCAACTATAACGGTCAGACTCAAAGGTGACCTTCGGGGGGGTTCCGAGATTGCATGCAGATCTGGTTCGAAGATCGTCCTGTCACCACTCTTGCCAAAAAGGGCCCTACCGTCTTGAGAAAAGAAATTCACGTGCTGCAAAAGTTATAACGTGAACCAAACTGCCTTCAAAACTCATGGGGGGGGGGGGAAATCCTAAACTGACCACTCTGCAGGTTGAGTAATCAACATGACCTTGATGGAGATATGCAAACTCCATTGACTAGGCCAGAGGTCTGCAACCTGGGGCTCTGGAGCCGCATGTGGCTCTTTCATCCCTCTGCTGCGGCTCCCTGTCGCTCAAAATATGCGTCACAACCGCCAATGTGCGACACCCGCCGGCACGTGATTTATTGAGCTTTTCGACCCATCTTTTTTTTTTTTCAGAGTTCAAAATGTTTTTGTTGCATGCAGAAATTAAAATGTGTTTTCTCTGTAGCAGGCAGGGGTGAAATCCAGCAGGTTCTGACAGGTTCTGAAGAACCGATAGCGGAAATTTTGAGTAGTTGGGAGAACCAGCAAATACCACCTCTGGCTGGCCCCAGAGTGGGGTGGGAATGGAGATTTTGCAATATCCTTTGCCCAGGAGTGGGGAGGGAATGGGGATTTTGCAATATCCTTTGCCCAGGAGTGGGGAGGGAATGGGGATTTTGCAGTATCCTTTCCTTGCCACGCCCACCAAACCACACCACGTCCATCAAGCCACACCACACTCACTAAGCCACAGCCACAGAACCGGTAGTAAAAAAAATTGGATTTCACCACTGGTAGCAGGTCATTCATTTCATAAATGAAGCACAGTATAGGTTTTTTTTTTTAATTAAATAAATTTTTATTTGTTTAAAAGTACAAACAAAACAGAGTGACAGCAAAACATACAGAACAAAACATGTAAACAAAGATTTCAAATATACATTTTGTCAAATATATATTGTCAAATAAACAACAGTAATGTATGTTCTTATTTGTGTTCTGCTTCCCTGTTTGATCTTACTCATATATCTATCTTTATGATTCATTGTTAATTTATGTTAGTGACTTATGTTCCTGTTTCTGTAACTCCAATTACTCCCTATCCTTTTTTCCTTTTTCTATTTT